TTAAAGCTGGTTCAAACGCACTGCACGATGTTGAATCTTACATTTAGCTTGAAGACTCGCGTTTATGTGGAAGCGAATGTGACACCCATGCTATAACCACCTCTATTTGACTGCCATTCTATCCAATTAACTACGAAATATTCCCTCTAACTGAAATCTCCCACAATTCCGCTCTCCATTCAGGTACTGCGTGCTTCTTGGTCCTAATGATGTCACTCACAACGATCTCAACATTAAACCTGTTTCTAATTTTATTTCAATGACATCGACGAAATTTTTCGAAAAAATACCCCAAATTCGCAACGACTAACGCATGATTAACCCCTTACTTTACGTTTTTATGTAATGTTCTAATTAGATACCGCCACATATTTCATATATTTATTGGTATTTCAATCTATTGAAGATGGTAAAGGATACTTGAGGTATTTAAGCATGACCAGGTGATCTTTGTATTTAAAATTAATTGTTACGCTGACTTAATTACGGATATGAAAAGTGTACAGACACGAAAGAGCCGAACACCGACCAAGAAGGGGTTAAGAAACCCTGATTTAGGTAATCGGAAGGAATTCCGAGACCATCCGCCTGTGGTCCAGACAGTTGAAAATGCAATATAAATCAAACAGGTGCTACAGAAACACTTCAGGATAACAAATTTACGTTATTTTTAATTAAAATTTCATGTCATCCCTCCTGTCGTTTTGTACGCACATCGATCAACATTCGTTACCCGCACTTAAATTCGGATGCCCCGATCCCACCCCCCCCCCCCCCCCCCCCATCTCCTCCTTAAGCCGCCCAATAAAGCCAATTGGCGGGGTGCAAAAAACACACACACATTAAAAACGTCCCAACTAGCTGTACGCGTGAGTGCCTCTTGAAACCACCAATTCCGAACAGCAGACCGCTCGGCCAGATTAGCTTTCCGACACCCCCGCCATTCACATCCGAATCGTTTGTCCTCCCCCTTCCGCGGCCAAACCCGATTAGGCGCGATGATTCAAGGAGCATGAAATATGCATGAGTTTAAAGGTGTAGGAATACAAATGAGAAGGGGGGGGGCGGTAATTAGATTGGCATATGGGGGGAGGGGAGAAGGTCAGTGAGCTGGTGGGGAGAGGGGTGTCTGAATAAATGGAGCGTGTATCGACTTTTTTGTGGAGTGAGAATTGACTATCGCATTGGACACGCTAGATTTGGCAAAACACGGTTGCGTCTTCATTGCGTATATTTAGAGGAATAAGGAAAATTAAATGTCTTTGCATGTTTCAAATTGTGCATTTGAGGTATATAAACTCCTTAACTGTGGCGAATCCAGGGAGTGGCTATCGGGCTGCGGCCCCCCCCCCCCCAGAGATAGACCAGAATTCTAGATTTTATTTAAAATCACTATAGCTGTTTTTTCTGAATCTCCCTTTAAGAAAGAAAGTGAAAAAAAAAATTCTTCCTGGCTTTTGACAGTCTCGAAAGTTTTCCCACTTTTGTAGTCATTCCACTCGTATTTGCAGCGTCGACACGGTCAAAAACATGTTTCTGCTAGTTATTTCATTGTGTTTTTTGTTAAATTATAGAAAGTATTGTAGTCCAGTGAGTCCGAGCAGCACCTGTCGGTAGTAGTAAATGATAGTCATTGGTACATGAAGTCAAGTAATGGTCAACATCTCCATGCCCACCACAAAAACAATCAGGATTGTTCGAAATCTTGAACCTGCACAGATATGCTGGAAAAGGTCCATGATTGGTAAGCAGATCGATGACATATTTGTTGCTAATCAATAAGTCCCGATTTTCGGACGGAAGCATTTCTTTTGTAAGTTGGCAGCGGTGGAATTTTTCCAGCATGAGTTCTACTCGTTCATAAGGAATTCCTTACAAACTCTTTTTACATAAGAATAAGGAGCAGGTATAGACATATCGGCACCACCAGAAGAAGAAATTTTTGCAAAGTGATCAGGAAGCTCATTGCCCGGGTTACTGGCATGAGCTTTTACCCAGACAAGGCTGACTAGACCCTTAACGTTGTACAGATTATCGTTAACTGATATCATGACTTTGAAATTTTTCGTAATTGATAAATTAATAGAAGATAAATTGCCTGGTGCTAATTTAAGAGATGATGAAGAAGCTATTCCACCTTCCTTTAAAGACGCAATGGACGCCATTGAAAAACTTCGAACTTATTCCTTTTGTCAAAAGAATAGTGAAAAACATTCAGTGACCTTAACCCTACGAACGGCAAAAATATTTCAGCTGAATACTTTGAAAACGGCCTCTCTGTAGCTAAATGGTGAACGCAAATGTTTCGGAGCCGGTTATTGGGTAATAAACAGAGAGCAACTTTCTACGTCGGAGCCGGTTAAAGAGTAATAATCGAAGAACGACTTTCTGCGACGGAACCGGTTTTAGAATAGTCATCAGAGAGCGACTTTCTACGTTCCAGCCGGTTGAAGGGTTAATTCGATTCATAGTGCTGTATTTAATACCCGCAGACAATCAGCACGTCAGACGACGATTAAAGAATTTTTTTTAATTATTAAACGCCTACCTGCATGCACATAAATCGTATAAGATATGTATAATTAGTACCCAAGACATACAATAAAGGCACGATTCTTCTAATTTTTATGATAAATGTTTAAAAATGTTTAATTTTAAAATTTAATTATTCATTTCCTTACTATGTAGGATTATACTAGCACTATCTTAAACCAGCGGGAGTGACCTCCCCGAAACTTTCTCGCATACGACCAGTAATGTGGGGTGGGTAAACACCCAGTAGGTAAATATTCTTGGGGTATTTACCCAAGGCCTGGTTATTTTGAGAAAAAAATTATGAATGGTGATTTACAATGAAACATATCAAATTCATGAATTCTTGAAACTTAATATTTTGCAAAAAGAATTGCGTATGTTCTCAATTTTTACGCGCGCTGAGGTACCACAACTTTAACGTTTTTGAGTAAGAGATCTTACTGCAGATCTCACGCAAGATTTCACCATACCTTCCATCTGGAGAATGTCAGAACGAAGTTTCGATTCGGGTTGCCGCGTGTTTGCAGCTTCCTACAATTTCATTCGTAGACCGCCAAGGTCAAACGCCAACCATACTAACTTGAGTAAAACAAGTATGCGATTATACAGACCTACAGACGGTCAACCTTTTGTCGGATTTGGCCCAAAATTTTAAACGGACCTACATTCATGATGATAAAAGTGTGTACCAAATTTTATCCATCTAGCTATTCAAGTTTTTGAGTTATAGTGTTCGCATGACCGCGGACAGACAGACAGGCAGACTTCCTGTAAACGGATTTTGCCCAAAATTTGATAGAAACTTACAAATTATGTTTAAAGACCACATACCAAATTTCATCCCCTAATAGTTTTCGAGTTATCGTTTCACAGACAGACATGATTCCAAAATTGTGTTTGTTGGACTGAGGGAGGTGTAAAACGTGGAGATTCGTCAAAACCTCGAGTTCGAGTTTTTTGACGATTACAATACTTTCTCTTCGTATACGAGAAAGTAAAAACTTTAAAATTAATACTTTTAAGTGAATAAAAGATAGCAGGTAGCATTAAATTAGTAATAATCAAAGTTGTTTAGTGAAATTCCGATTATACGTCTTTTCATTTATACATCGTTTTTCGTCAGTCCCTTGAAAGACGTATAAACGGTGCTTCACTGCATATGATTAATTTTTAAAAGTTGCAATATAAATATGAAAAATATTCATACATCCTCTCTGTGTAAATATCTTTTACTGATGTACATGTTTACGTAACATTATAAAAATCTGTGGCTGTTTATAGTTATTAGCCCTAACCAAATTTTCCTTTATTTAAAATTAGTAAATAAGTTTTTTGTTCAAATTTAAAATAAAATCAGAATATTTAATTTGTAGGCCCTCTTGGATCAATTGCGCAATTGGGCTACAGCCCAATTAGCCATTATGCATTACGGCCCTGACCATAATGCATATTACTTCTCCGAAACAATTCCAGTTTCGGAAAGAGATTAAACACTTTCGCCGACTGAAATTCCAACCCAATCTGTCAGCAGGTCTCCTTCCTGCGCCTACAGAAGGGCCCAACCGGTGCGGCTCGAACAACCTCGCATCTGTCACAACACGCCCTTGCCCAGTGTGCCCAAGGATTAAACAAACTGACATTACTCGAATCCGCATTCAAATCCCCCCTTTATCCGCCCGGATCCCGCCATAATGGAGAGGAAGACAAACTTTGGGATCCCGGAACGGGACATTCGAATGGAACTGTTTCTGGTGGGGGTGGTGTCGGGTTTCTGCAGTCACGTGATGATCCGACACCCTCCCCTTAAGGTCCGGGCGCCGCTAGATTAACGGGATTAGCTGGATCCGCCGCACGTGCCCATCTGTCGCTATCTGGATCGCCGGACATACGCCCGTTCTATACCCCTGCGCGTCATTTTTTTTTGGGCAGTCGCATATTCCCCGGTGCATAAATTAAGGTTGTGATTTTAAGTAAATTAGATAATTTGTAAATTCATAGACATATGGGGTAATGGGATATGTGAGCGTATCACGCCTTGTTCCAGTAAGAGTTTCTGCAATACAGTGTATGGACAGGACCAACTTATCCATTGGGCCGTAGCTCAGGGGTCCTAAAATTTATTACACCGATTTTATTCTAATTTTGAACCTAACAAATTTAATTATAATTTTAAATGTGTTAAAGTAAAAATATGATTAGGATTTATAACTAGACCTGTGCTCCTGTGTCTTTTAGAACCCTCTGAGTGCTGAATTATTTTGAATTTTTAGCTGTCAGGTTAGAAAACTTAGCTTTTAAAGCGAATGAACTAGTCTTTTTTGTATTTAATTATAAGTCTGAAATATTAAGAATATTTTGTCCGTGCTTCTTTGAGAAAATATAATATAATTACGAGCTATCTGCTTTTGAACTGAACATGAAAAACGTAAAAATACGTTTGCGCCGCTCGGAGGATTAAAAAACTCTTCCCCAGATGAGGATCGAACTCGCATTACTCGCAGATACTGCTGTATAGGTACAGCTCGCTAGCCACTTACGCCACTGGGGACTCCTCATAACTCGATAGCCATCGATTTCATATTGCTAAATAAACACGCAAGCCAGTTCTACAAATATTCAAACAGAAATTATCAGTGAGAAATCCGAAACTATGCACGTTATAGAAGTTGTCTAAATTATCAGTGATAAAGTGGGTTGCTATACTCTGTCGCATAATGATAATTTTTGATGATTACAGTACTTTCTATAACTACGTATACGAAGCGTATGTATAAAATGTATTCGTAATTGTAGTCGTTAAATACAAAATCAGGCCGAGTTATTAACTAATTTCTGTTTATTATCGGGGAGTGACGAAATGTACGTACATCTTCGTTTAAGTTTTAAGCCAAAAGTGGATAGGAAATCCCTGCTTTTTTCTCAGGTAGGGATTTAACAGATAGACACGTGATCAAAGTGAAGGGAATAATAGCTATTTTTAGTATATTACGTAAGTGTTTTAGGGAAAATGCATGGCGACAATAAGTCGCCGTTTCGCGAGTTGTGTGCGCGTGGAAACGATTAAAATATTCTTTTAGTAATAAATATGCCAAAACGCCAGATTTATACCTCCAGAGCGGGAAATAGAACGAAACTGGAGTTTAGGAAAAGTGATTTTGGAATACATTAAGACTTTAAAATATATAATATTAGAATTTGAAATAAAATTAAGTGAGATTACTACATGTATATAGTTCAGTACTGATGTTTTTAACAAGGATTCAATCTGTTACTTCTTTAGTTGTTTGCTTTTTAAAATAAATTTTAAACTCAAGCATATTTAGCTAGATTTTTTTACACTCTATTTTCCTACTTTATTTTCTGCTTATATGTATTTTAGGTCCCGAAAAACCAATTGGTTCATTGATGGTATCATGACGGGATCTTTTTGTAGCCGAGGTGGTTACGATGGGGAAAAAGTTTCGGATACCTTGCTCTATAATATACATACGCAGGGCCGGATTATTAAATAGGCAAAGTAGGCAACTGCCTAGGGGCTCCGAAACTTTGGGGGCCCTTGGGGCATTGAGATTTTTTTGCGGTACTTTCAAAGCAATTTAATACCAAGCTTTCATTTAATTTGCAAAGATCGTGCACTCGAACTTATTGAAATTAATATCAAGTATCGTTTAAATTTTGGAACATTATTGTAACAACATTCCTAATTAATTACTTTTTACAAGTTTTAAATGATGTTGTTTTATAATTCTAAGAAAATATATTCCTCTATAATTAAAAAAAAAAACGTCCGATCCAATAATTAAATAGAATTTAGATAAAATAAAATAAATTTATTTTATCTAAATTCTATTCTTTTTTATAATCTAATCTAAATATAATTCTTTTTTATAAAAAAAATTTATAAAAGTTTTGTACTTTTTTTAATATTTTATATAAAATTGCTTTTAAATTTTAATTTTACATTTTTTTTTAATACGCGATATACCAACTGTCTTGAGTGTGAAAGTGATCCTTAATAAAACTTTTTGTTACTTCAAGTAGAACAGTTTTAAGTAGTTTCAGTAATTTTGTGTCTTTTAATGCAAGTTAACAGTTTTAAGTAGCAAATTTCGACAAAAAATTTGCTACTTACAACTGCTTATATAGATATTAAATTAAAATAGACAGAAAAATATCTGTTTTTGGAAGCTGGGAAGAGGAAAAGGCAGCCACAAGACAGACATTGCCGAAGGGCCTCTAGAGCAGAGGTTTCCAACCTGTGGTACGTGCACCCCTTGGGGTACGCGAAGGACGATTTAGGGTACGCTAACTCAAAGTAGATAATGACATAAAGAATAAAACATAATGGATTAAAAATGTTACAGAATTTTGTTTCCCCAAATTCGTGAAAAAAGTAAAAGTGAAAGTTGTGCAAGTCCTAAACCTACCCTCAAAATAAGAAAAAAATAAAGAAAAGGAAGTGTAATTTTTAGCTATCCTTGTAAGTTAATGCGAAATTATTACAATACTGATTTCATTCGTTTTGACGTTGAACTAATATTATTGTAAAAATGGAATAAAATGTAAAATCATAAATAAATCCTGCAAATGTTGTAAATTCAAGTCATTTGACTCTTAAGATCACCAAGGTTCTTAACATTATTGATAAGAACTTCTTTGTACAGTGAAACCTCTCTGCGCGGCCACCCCTCCGTTCCGAGAAAAATTGGCCGTTCAGAGGGGGTGGCCGCTCTAAAGGGTTTTCGTTACAATTACAAGATAATTGCTATAATACATAATATAAACAAGTCTGGCACATATTTCTTATTTAAAATTAAGTTTGAAACTTATCTAAAGAGAAAATAGTACTTTATTTAATAATTTTTTACTTTTTTTGAAAAAAAGATACAATTTGTGGCTGTTTTAAGTTTTTACCCTTCTCGGGAAAAAACCATTTTTTCAAACTCGTTTTTCAGTTTAAAAAGTAAATCTCTAACCGATGCGTTTGGGATGGTCAAACCCGCTCGGCGGCCGTTCAGAGGGGTTGGGTGGCAGTTGCTAGGGGTTATTTCAACATTAGGTCTATGGGCCGAAAAATCCGTGCCACGTAAAATTGGTCGTTAAGAGGGGTGGCCGCTATGCAGGGGTGGCCGTTCGAAGAGGTTTCACTGTATAAACGGATGGTTGGAGGGGGGGGGGATACGACAATAGGGATACGCGAAAATGAAAAGACTAATCAAAGGGTGAGCGAGGTAAAAAAGTTTCGGAACCCCTGCTCTGAAGGACTTATCCGGTCTTGTATTTACGGATCGCTTGAAACTGGTTGAGATCACAAGCGGCCCAAGGCCCGGGCAACAGCCCGTGGCGACCACACGGGGGGGGGGGCACCAAAGCGAGAGTGTGAAGACAAAATTGTTTTAATAGACTTCAGAAATAAAGTCATATATTTTAAAAATTTGCTCAGCATTTTAGTTTAATTTGAATAAGACCATTATGTAATCTTAAACATAGTTGAAGTTTGAAAATTCTCGCCATAATATTATTAAGTCATATTTGCAGGTAAAGGATTCATATTTCTAAGTAAAAGTTTGCTTGACATTTATAATAGAGACATAATAGAATTTTTAAAAAATACGTTGGTTTGAGGGGTGTGTGTGCTATGCTGTTGCCTTGCGTATTAATATAATTTCGGGCCGCTTCTGACTGGGATAATACTTAGAAAATGCTACAATCAAACACATAGTTGTCTCTTTTCTATAGTTCTCAGGCCCCGTCCTTTTGGGAATCATGCCATACTGTTGTCTTGCGTATTTGGTAATATAACTTCGGGCAGCTTCTGACTGGGATAATACTTAGAAAATGCTACAATCAAACACATAGTCGTCTCTTTTCTATAGCTCTCAGGCCCCGTCCTTTTGGGCACCATTTAACACGCCTTATGAAAGTGACCCAGAAAAAAAAATATCGGCCCATACTGAAGGTATTCTCTCATAGGTTTCTTTTTAGACGCTGTGATGTCCAATCATCATTCTCTAAAACTGAGGGACACGAAGGCCAAAGGAAACCACATTCATCATTAATTCCAATCCTAGATTTTCCAAAAATAGGAAGACATTCCAAAAGAGAAAGGTTGGGTAATCGGAAATTCGTCTTTCGTTCAAACTGTGCACAACGATATTCGTTGAACGTTCTGTGTGACGAGGACCCTCCAAATAGGTAGTTTTACAACGAATCTCATTGGACTTATAAGTTGTTCTCGGTTGGCGACCCGGCATGGGACCTTCTCCTATATTTACGCAATTGATTGTTATTAAATGTTTACCTTTATTTCGTCATTATATTCTGCTAATATTTCTATAACTTCGTCGGTGGATAAATGACAGCTTTAAAGATTTCAAAGTCCGATGAATCGTATTACAATATTTTATTTACAGAATTTTTATCATTCACGAAAAGCAGAAGCATAGTAGTGATGAAATTAAAATCATTCATATTTATAAACTTTACATGGAATTCAAAGAGAGGAGGATTTGTAATGAGACAACCAATAGAAATTACTAACAAGACAACCAATCAGCTTTATTTAACACTTTAAAGGGCCATTTTTTACTAGTAGTGATATAATAAAATAGCTATGGGATTGAGATTAATATAAGAAAAGAAATTCATTTAGCTTATTGGATGACATTAATTTTTTGTTAATTAATTTGATTAATTAATTAGAAAGTAATTCTAATGATGAACATTGTGGTTCGAGATCAAAAATAGGAATATCTAGGTTTGTGTTTCATCAAAAACGTGTTGCGCCAACCTTAAAGATTTCATTTAAAAATTGATGAATTTGGTGGTAAGTATACTTACCACGGGCTTAGAAAGGGTTAACATGACGTGATGGTAATGAAGTTAAATGATGAGTGCGATTACGTTACTCTAACACATTCATTACATCTCTGTGCAGTAAAACTTCGATTAGCATCGCCAGAAGCGGCCCGAGGTAGCTTCACCAACCGGGAAAGGCAATAATATGGCACCCCCCAATCCAACGTATTTTTTAAAATTTTATAATGCCCGTATTCTAAATATCAAACAAAATTTTGCTTGGAAATATGCATGTTTCACTTGTAAATACGACTTGATACTACTATGGGGAGAATTTTTGACCTTCAAATATATTTAAGATTATATAGAGGTCACTGAAGAGCAAAAATAATATATTCAATAAATTTATTTTAAAAATATGACTTTATTTCTCAAGTTTATTCAACCATTTTTTTCTTCACACTCCCGCTTTGGCGCCACGGGCAGGTGTCCGGTCTGCCCTGGCCTCGGGCCGCCCCTGACTGTCGCCGTCCGGACCAGGGCTGTGCCGGATAACGGAATAGACGGATAACAGAAATCGTTTAATGCATATGTTTCGTAATATAATTTCACTGCTGGCTTGGAACGAAAATGAAAGTGAATAATGCATACATATTGTATTTAATTTTGCAAAACGATCAGAATAAACTTCAGTATAAGAGTAGTAATGCACAAAACTGTATTGTAATACTTTAAACCTACGTTATTTTA